AAACCAAAACCAAAACCAAAAATATAGTAATGGAGGGAGGATATATGCACTCTGCACACAAAGAATCTTTTCATCAGGAGCTTTTAGTAGCTTTCCCACAAAAACCAATCTGCTGGGAACTTTTACCTTATCTTTGTAAACTAGGGTGCTGGGGCTCGGCCGGGGCTGGTCTTTGAATGAGTATGTGGCCACTTGCTTCTTTAACAGGTCCAGGAAGTCGGCAGGCTTGTACAGTGGAAGATCGTTTACGACTGGGTTGTTTCTTTGCACAAGAGGTGGCTTTTTCCTTCCTTCATTTTTAAAATTGTAGGTTGCTACCACTGGGTTTAATAGGGATTCTTCAATAAAAGTTTTCAAGTGGTAAGTGCCAGGTATAGGAGTATTCTGTGGAAAATTGACATCAGTTTCAGATCTATTCTTGGAAGGGTCACTCCTAAGTAGCATTTCTCTTTGCTTTCACATTTAATGAAATTCTATCAAATATAATAAACACTCTCAACAGAATATTTCAAGAGACTCCATGATTATCTCCTGTCTGAAACAACTGCTGCATCATCCCCAATGGGTTATGATGGAAGCTTAACTCATTAAAAGGTAATTTCAGGGATATATTTATATTTGTGATTCACCTTTGACTATAGATTTCGGGCCTCTAAGGAGACTACTCAAGATAGTTTCTTGGCTAGCTGAAAGCTATCCTACTTCTGCTTAGCAGAGGCTGCGTTTCTAACTAGCCCTCAAGGGGAAGCTGAAAGATGATAATGTGAGCCTGCGGGTGAACTGCAGAGCCCTAAGGTCTGCGTAGTACAAGAGGAGGTTTGGCACCTCCAGGCCCCACCACAATGTGGCTGAAAGGCCGGACCTGTTGTTGAGTCACTGCTATTCTGCAGCCACCTTTCCACCGACCGCTCAGCTCAGTTCTGCTATTAAAATTAGTTCAGCCCCGAGAAGGCTCTCTTAGTGAAGGGTGCGGATAGAAAATATGCAACACAGCTCTTGATTTTCTAAGGTCGTCACTTTTTGCATATATTACCATCTTGCTTTACGCATCTTATATATTGATCGTGTTAACAAATGTTATAGGTTCTGTACCAGTGGTGGTGAACCTATGACGCTTGTGCCGCAGTGGGCAGGCAGCGTCTGCTCCATCAGCACATGAGCCAAGTCGCCCCAGCATCACCCCCGCAGCCAAGCATCGGATGGATGATAGCGCACCTAGGGGCAGTGTTGGCACTTTGTGATAGGTGGGTCTTGGGTTGCAGTTTGGGCCCTCGGTCTCTGAAAGGTTTTCCACCACGGCTCTGTGCCATCCACAATAAAATCTGGAGCCAATCACCTTTCCAGAATGGATGCTTTTTCTTTCTTGTGCAAGATCACACGATCACAAGTTGACCTTACCTAATATTCTGGAAAGTACCTGGATCCCTAGAGATGTTTCATTTTCTTAGCTTTCATTACACTCAAAATTTAAAGCTAATTTTTCATTTATATACTAATACTAAAATTGTAAGTATGAGATTGGGTCCCCATAGATCTGAACCACTACTTATAATTGTTACTGACTTAAAAGATCAGACTGATTAAGGTCTTAATGGGAACGAAAATAATGTGAACAGAAAAGAAAATATACACACTGTTAATGTTTCTCTCCACCATCCTTCTCTTTCAAAAGATGAACTCTTCCGCACTGATTTCTATTAATAAACACAAGATACAATTATTCACTTGAGATGATCCCTTAAAATTAAATTTATATTTACTGGAAGAAATCAATCTCTGTACTAAATCAATAAGCCATCGCTAAAATCTACACAATGATAAACTTTGCCCATAATGTTGCATGATCTTAAGTGCTTTTAAATATCTAAATATCTTTGGTGAATTAGAGTAATAACTACTCCCATCTCGGGGAGCTGTTGAGAGGCTTTTAGACATGTTCTTGGGGAGAAAAAGAGTTGGGCTTGACCTGTAGCTCCTTCACTTAGCAGCTAAGTCACGGGGCAAGTTACTCAGGCCTCACGCACCTGCCTTCCTCACTGGAGCATAGAGACAAAGATTTGCTGAGAAGGAACTGTCTATAAAGACCGGCCCCACAACCAGTGCTAGCTTTTATTTTTAACACCTCACCTGCCAAGCTAAGAAGCAGATTATTTTGGTATCCCTCGATTTCCACAAAGTTCTTACCTTCCATAGGAAGTATTCTATGCATATTTATTATTACTTCACATTTGCTTCGAGCTCCACTGGCCAGAGAACACTGCTATTTAGGTTTTTTTTTTTTCTTTTTGTGCATTTCTGCTTGGGAAAAGTCATTAAACCATCGAGTTCTACTTTCTTATAATTTTTATCATTACTAAGAAATATGGGTCACCTCAAGCAAGAATGCATTAAAAAAATCCTCCTCTCCATTCTTCCTGTCTTGTAAATGGAGCTCACTTACGTGTACGAGTAGTGGGCTTTGGTTTTACAGTGAAATGTGTGCATTTCTCTAAAGCCATATGGCTTCATATATACTGTTTGAACTTCTTCCTGTAGCATTCCTGTACTAGATTTATGTGGACTCTTGTGCGGCACATTTCACAGTCACAGAAAGAACACTTTCCCAGGCAGGTCAAGACAGACCTCCCGCCTCTGCCCAGGTGTGGGAAATGAACAGGAAGCAGGCCGGCCAGCACGACAAGCGCAGAGGAAGGTAACTGGCAGCGGCTGTTTGGTCTGGTCCAAGGCAGGTGATCTAAAAGCCACCCATTCTACATTTAGAATTCACTTTAAAGGAGAAAGATAAAGGATAGCTTAAACGTCTTTCACCTAAATCTACTTAAAAGCTAAGTAAAGGCAATTTCAAAACCGTAAAAGTACTAAAGTAGGAAGCAAGGCAAAACGTGTCCAATAGACTAAGGAAGGAAAAATCCATCTCTCAGAAGGAGGGGAAAAGGGAAGACATAGAATCGCCCTACTAAAACAGAAGTGTAGCGCAGTTACTAGTGAGAAGAAGGAAAATACGCAGAAAACACGGGCAGAGGGGAGTAGTACGGGAAGCAGGAAGGGAAAGGGAAATAAATCGCAGGAAAGATCAAGCGAAGCCAGGAAAGCGCGCTGTATACGGGAGGGAAGCGGGAACGGCAGGAAAGGAATAGAAGGACCCAAAGGCCTGGGCCAAGAGGGGGTGGAAGGGCAGGGGACAGCAGCGGGGCGGGCGGCAAGCGATGGTACCGAGGCCATGACTCGCAGATCTCCACGCCTCAGGTTTTCTCTCAACACTGCGTTGCGGGGGATGCTGATGACGGCCTGATCCATTATGGCTTGGACTCTCCCCGGGTGTGGCTGGCGTCCGGTTGCTAGGAAGCACGGTTGCTGGGAGGCACAGTTGCTAGGAGGCACAGTTGCTAGGAAGCCCGGCTCAGAGGTCGAGGTCGCACCGGAAACCTACATGTTGTCTCCGGTGGCTGGGGGCGGGAGGCGGGCACACAGCGAGGAAATCCCTCGAGCATACACGTGCTAAGGAAATGTAGGGGGCTCCAGGGTCGCCAGAGCCTTCGGGGAAATACCTGCGCCAAGGGAGGCTTGTTGGGCTTGCGCGGAACCACAGTCTCCACCGGCCCCTTCTGAACGACCCTCAGTTCGCTCGCGAGGGGAGGTGCTCCATCACTCGCTCTGAGGCGGGAGCTTTGGCAGCGCCTCTGAGCTCCTCCCAGCAGAAATCGGGCCACTTCTGGGTTGAGCAGCGACTACCCAAGACAGTTTTCAGTGCTGCGCACAAATCCCCTTCCCCTGCATACAGCCCTTCGCACTTCGGGCGTCTCCTGACTGTAGCTTCTCCTCAACTAAGAAATTACTCTTCAAGGGGCTGGGGATTTAGCTCAGCGGCACAGCGCCTGCCTGGCAAGCGCGAGGTTGAGCGTTCGATTCCCAGTACCGAAAGAAAAAAAAAAATTCCTCTTCAAAACAGCCCCTCCCCCTTAGTCTGATTTTCAGAGTACAATCTGTTCTTTGGATGTAACGTACATTAATTTCACCTGATCCTCACCTCACAAGCCTGCAAAGCAGGCATTAGTCCCATGTGATGAGGCTTCCTTTCACGGCCGAGTTGACGCAGGATCTCACACACACATGGCAGGCCGGAATTTAAATCTAGATCAGTTTTGCCTTTCTTACGGATTTTCAAAATGCAGACTCAATTCCTCCCTCAACCCTCGATTTCCAAAGGCATCAGCCTTGACATACACACATCCCTTCCCATTAAAACTGCACTCGCTGTGCCCAGCTGCCAAAGCCTGTGGGCACTTCCCGCTGAGTAACGTTCATCTCTCACTGCTGTACTGACTACTCCCCTTGAGTGCTTTTCCTTTTGGACCACTAGGACTTAACTCTTGGTTGCATTTTCTATCATTTATTCTGTACAGTTTCCTTGCTTATAAAGAGGGGAGGAACGGGCTGGGGATTTAGCTCAGCGGCAAAAATGCCTGCTTGGCAAGCGCAAGGCGTGAGTTCGGTTCCTGGTACCGGAGAAAAACCAAAAAAAAAAAAGGGGAGCGATATTGAAATGATACCTACCCTTCTAGGGTTATGACTGAAATTACCGGAAGCATGTAGGACAAAAGCAGGATTCACAGTGCAAGCTCTACCCTCTTCTGCCCCTCACCAGGACTTCACGCTCTGCTGTATGATAAACCCAGTATGCCACCTTCAGAATTCTATTATCTCAACATAGGCCAGCTTTGCAGTGTGAGATCCCCTTTTTGACAATCTGGTAGAATTTTAAGGTCAGGTCAGGGTAGCCCTTCTAGGTCTAGTCCATCAAGTCCCAAAGACCCTGTACCTATCTTTATTGGAGGATTCATTTTGACAAATTGTTCCTTCTAATGTTGTTTTTACAGGGTCTCCCTGTGTAGTTCAGATTCGCCTTGCACTCACCACAGTACGTGCCCTAGTCTTCTAAGTGCTGGGATTATTACAACAGGCACGCACATCTGGCTTCTAATTTTTTGACAACTTTTTTTTTCCTTGATGTGGTACTGGGAATTGAACTCAGGACCTTGTGCTTGCCAGGAAGGTACTTGTGCCACTGAGCTATATTCTTGGCCCATGGCTTCTCATTTTAAACGTTCTCCAAATGTGATTTTTAACTGAGCCTTTGGAACACAATATGGACTAAAATATTTGTTGAATAAATTACTTTGTCCCGTCAATTAAATGAGAGAATAATTATGACAGTACTTTTCAAAAATTGTGTACAAAACATCCTGTCACCTTAAAATGCAAACTGATTCTGACTCCAGGGCAGAGCCTAAGATTCTCCGTTTCTTTTTCCCTTTCTAGTGCTGGGGATTTAACTCAGGACCTCACATGTAAGGGAAGACATCTACCACTGCACCACCACCACCCCCAGACTTTATTTCTAACAAGCTCTCATTCTGTGGGTGACCTTTTGAAGACTAAAGCTAGAGGACTTTGTCTAGTTTCTCTTAAAATATGGGGATTCTAAACTCACTTTTTAAATAAGGGCCAGGCACCAGTTTTAAAATGAGTTGAAACTAAGCAACCACGAGAGAAGTAAACACAAGCTCTCATAAATTTAACAGATCAAATCTATCCCTGTGCCTCATTTAATTTTCTTATTTTGGCTGAACCTATAAAACTGGCTCAGCAGGCTAGGGACTGGGACCTTAGAGACTAAAAAAAATATATGAAAGGTACAGAGAAGTCCAGAAACCCATACAAGGTGTAAAAATTGAAGGGAACATCTTGATGAAAAAATAGTTCCTAAGTCTCAAAAATAGAAACAGCATGGGTCAGTGATTTCAAGGACTTTACCAATAAAACAGGTTGAACATGTAGGATAAACAAAATGTCCTCTAAAGAAAATACTGCCTTGGGCCGGGGATATAGCTCAGCGGCATAAGCACTTGCCTGGCAAGCCTGAGGTCATGAGTTCAATTCCCGGTACCAAAAAAAAAAAAGTAAGGCTAAGAAAATACTGCCTTGTACAGGATCATTATTTTCAGGGTAACTTAAATTTTACAAGAAGGGTTAACTTCTCTTTGAGGAATAATAGAGTCCAACAGTAACTCTGCTACAATTTAAACTTTCCCCTTTCCTAAGCATTCTAGGGAAAATACATAATGTCTGAGCATAATCTTCAATAGGGATAGTTTATTGAATTATCCAAAAGCAAGCATGCTACAGACTATATTACATAAAGAATTAACAAGTACAACTCTACTATAAAATATGGTTAATAGTGGAAGTTGACATTTTAAAACAATGGCCCCTAGATTACATGCATGTTATAAAATATGAACCCAGCTCAGACCAACTGATCCGTAACTATTCCACTTTCCAATTTCCTATAAAATCAAGATGCCCACTTTGTGACACTTGTAAAGACTGTAATATAAAATCACTAATATAATTACCAGCTTTTCTGACATGAGTCCAAAAACGGTGCTTCCCCCTTTACTACATCCTTGCCATTACTCTCTTGGTATTAATTTATATGAACCTCAAACTCCTAAAATTAAAAATGCCACTAAATGCCCCTCTCTTCACCTTACAGGGGTTGTAACTCATTTAACACAGTAACGCTGAGCACTTACTACAAATGCCAAGAACTGTACTATCTCGGCCTCATCTCACTGAACCCTGTAAGAAAAGCCTCATGTCAGAAAAGCTGACTCTATTATACCCATTTTAGAAGTAAGGTAACTAAGGACTGGGTGGGTAACAGACTTCCTTCACAGCCACACAGTGCTGCAATTATTAAAAAGCCTACACTTCACATGTTGTTTGCTTCACCCATAACTCCTACAACATCTAATGGAAGGGGCCACAGTAAAATGAATATCCAAACTCTTCCTATCACCTAAGAGGCAGTAACATGCCCATAGGATTATCAATGCCTGTGACTTCACTTGTTATAAGAGGGAGCAGTAACTTGCCAAATAATACATTGTGCCCTGGAAAACCCAAAAGTACAGTAAGCAGATAACAACTACACTCAATGTTTCACTAATTAAAAGGTGGTTTTAAAAAAACCACAACAAAAAACCCGATGACCACCTCTGAGCTGAGCAGCGTAGGAGAAAGCAATGACAGAAATTAAGCAAAAACTCAAACAGCGCTTAGTCACTGCCAATCTATTCCTAATGCACTTTTTATATAACATATTATAGGGCAAGTAAAACTAAAAATTCTCCTTTGTGTTGTTGAACAAGTATGAGTGAAAATTTAGGAAATAAGAGGTAAAAAAGCCATGGTGATCCCCCTGCCAACAAGATGTAGATTGTATTTTTTAACACACAAAATTCATCGCATGACTGAAGCTGATAAACACACGACCAAGCTGAAAAATCTATTAAATGGTAGGAAATACTTAACACCTACATTATGCTCTCACTGTACTCATGGGTCTTTAAAATCTTTCATTTAAACCTTATGAAGGAAGTTTCATCCTCATTCAAAAGCTAAACATAATCTCAAGCAGTAAAAAACAAGCTATTTCAATTATACCAAAAAAGGAACAATTCCATATTTTACCTTCAAACATTAGACTTCCAACAGTTAATTAAAGGACTCAAGATTCAGAGCAACAGTTGGGTAAATTGTAATTTTTTTATTGGAAAACAAATATACAACTTGGAATGGATTTGAGGCAAATTGTGCCATAAGCAGATTTTTTTTAAGTGGCTAAACAAAGTTTAAAAAGCAAGTAACAATAAAAGAAAATGTTTCTGGTACAAGACCAGCAGTACAAAAAAAGTGTACGAGTACCTGGATAATACACCCGTTTTGCAATAGTGCAACTTTTAAGTACATATTGTTGACTGTCCATAGCCCACGCAGAGTCACAACTCCACACTTCAACAACAACATGCTGACAACTCCTAAGAAAACTACTTAAAAAAAGGCATAACCCAGATGTTCCCTCATTTGACCAACTCCATCTAAGTATAGATGTGCAGAAGGGCTTAGATATATCCAGAGTAAGCCACATGCAACATGTTACTTGATCAATTTTCTAAAATAAGGTTTCAGGACAATGACAGTAAGATAAGGGAAGAAAACATGGAGGAATGAAGTCCTAATTACTATACATGCATATTTTTTTGACAGTAGGGGGAAACCTTTTACAGATAAGTTACAAACAAAGAAAAGGCAAATAAACAATTTTGTACAAGAAATTTAACACATTCTGTACAATGTCTTCACTTTGCTGTCATCATTTGTACAAACTCT